TTTAAACTGATGATCTATAATCCGGAATCGGCGAAGTCCCGACGAGTCCGGATTAACGACTTTTGACTGTACCAGTTTCTAGGAAATGATGATTTAAGTGAAAGAAATATTAATTAGAAAATATGTAAACTGACGTTTAACATGTATGTTACAAAAGTGCATAAAAGCTAACAAGTTAGGTAAAATGTATTTCATCAAAAAGTAAAATCTTCTATTAATGATTTACTATGAATAAATTATTAGTAGTTATGTGTACATTTGAGAAAGAGTATGAAAATCATCAGTACAGCGAATATGTTCTACTGATATTATCACTTAACACGCAGTTACCATTTGACTGTTAATAGACAAAAAAATATAAAATTTCCACAATTTTATTTGCAGAATGAGTGTGGATGAATCTAAACAACATAGGAACATTTCTTTAGATCAGGGGTTCTCAACCGGTGGTATACAAAGAAGCAAAGTATTTTTAACTATTAAATTAAAAAATTAAAACCCAACATCCTGATTGAGTTTTTTTTTTCTAACACTCGTAAATTTATGTGATTTGAGCTTTGTTCAGGAGTGGTGGTGGTATTAAAGGTTTTCAATTTTTGTTTAGATGGTACGCGTTAGTCAAAAGGTTGAGAACCGTTGCTTTAGATTAAATATTAGAAGAAAATGATAATTGCAGTTTGTCTAATTTGTAGATTTCCACAATGATTTAAATTTTTGGGGGGTTAACATTAATATAAATAACTGTTGTAATCATAAAACACTGATGGCCCTTAAAAGCATAACATTATTGAAGACAGGTAGATAAAGCCATATTTATTATACAAATAAATTTTAATACATGGTTTAACTGTACATAGGTAAGCAAATCAGTTAGACTTAAAATACATGGTTAAAAAACAGTTAAACTTGTAATATACCACCTCGTACAGCCATTGCATGAAGATAAACAGATACTGGATGTGTACCTAAAATATGTGAGAAAATGAGATTTCAATTATTACCAGTGTTCAGCTGATATAGCCATGGGTAGACTGTGGTGCTTTAATTTTTTTATAATCATAGGCCTGATATATTCAGTAGATAACAGATCTGATGAAATCATAGATCAAGGGATAAATAGACCAATAAAAAAAATGGTGGGAATTTAGGAGTTTGTTCTCTGTTATGTGCCAGACATTCCTTGTTGATCACTAGTTCTAGACAACCTCTAAAGTTAGACAGCAGTGAGCTTCGAAAACCTCAGAGTAATAGTAAATGATTCATCAGATTTTAAAAACACTGCCTTTTCATAAGTAGTATACATACAATAATCAATTTATGGAAATGAACTAGAAACTAAAAAATTACCTCGCGTGCTACAGACATTTTATGAACATTGATCACATAGCACACTTCCAAATGGCTATTGATATCACATTTTTTGTACCCCGAGTTTCCATACTGCATCATCTATCACATTTGAAGTCTTCCATTGGGCAAACATTAAGGAGTGCATTTTTTTACATAATGTACTGGTAATACATTATGTACAAAATGTACCTGGTGCTCACATAACATACACAGCAAAACATTTGTTGTACGTAAAGAAAATTTGGATAATTTCTCATTCTTTATTTGGATTCAATCATTATAATATGCATAATATTTTCAATATTAGAATTTTTAAATCTGATAAATCATTTGCAGTAGCCCTAAACAATGGCACCTGTTCAACTGCACATTAAACATGGAGGCTGTTTTTTTTGGGGGGGGTGTTTAATTTATTTGATTACAGTATAGTGTGGCTAAGGGTAGAGATACTTTCAAAGAGAAATTAGCTTATACATATTTCATATATGCGGAAAACTATGAAAACACACATGCAGCCAACCTATTCGCCAGAATGTGAACACAGGTTGAATTATCAGTATTCAGCTACTTTACTGCTAGTGAAGCCAGAGCTAGACATTTTATTACCTAATAGAATAACTGCTGCTTGCAAATTATGCTTTCCAGTTCCTGCCAAAATTCTAAAAATTTTGACGCTCCTATGTCTTGCTGCCCATTGCACTCATACAGGTTGCCCTGGCCACCGATGAGCATTAAACATGAAGGCAACTGGGATGTAATGGACCATACGATTACACTTGGTTTCAGAACTGTATGGAGATGCATAATGCATGACATAATGTGGCATTTTGTTGATGCAGACCATTGATGTGATCCTTGATGGTGTTGATGTATTAAGATTCATCTGGAAAAAATGAATTATGTTATTTATCCTTGTATTTGCAAAGTTCTATGCACAACTATAGCTGTAGTCACTTATAATGTTTCTAACGAGGGTTTAGTTAGGTTATTTGAATATGGCAAAGCATCTAAGGGCTGCTTATTTTTTCTACCAAAGTTAGCTGAAACAATGGTCACTTTAAAAAAACTACTTTAATTTTTTGCTATGTAGCACCTACTTAGTTCTGAACTGAAGAATAATATAACTGAAACAGCCATACATACAGATTATGTTATCTTAATCAATGAGTCAAACTAGTGAGTTCATTGCTTAAGCATTCACCAGCTTTAAGAAAACCAGATCAAGTAGGATATTGCTTTTTTTTTTTTTTTTTTCCTTTTAACATAATTAAGTATCAATGTGCTTTAAAAATGATAATTCAAATTGTGACAAAGGTACCTATTGATTATTTACTACATCTCAGATTTTTAGAGGTAGTTATTTCCCAGCAATGATGTCTGTGTGTTTTCTTCGGTGGTAAAGTGCCAATAAATAGTATTTAACTGTAACAGTCATGTATAATCATAACTGACTTCTGATAATTGTGTATGTAATTTTATATTTCATTTTTGTTAGCCATTTTGCATTTATAAATATGGGTCTTTTTGATTTGCTAAAAATAATGAAAACAGAAAACTGTTCGTTTTTTCTAGTTTCAGTCTGCTATGTCATGGGATAGTAAAAATCTCATAGAATGAAATTAATAATCATTCCAAAAGCATATTGCAATAGTAAAGTTTCTGATATATGCAAATAAATCATTATGTGAGAAGAAAGGAAAATTGGTTTGAGGGAAGCACAGCTTATTAATTTTTGTTCATCAGAGTTCACAAAGTGTATAACTTACTCAAAATAATTCTAAAATTTTGAATTTTGGTACTTTCTAATTTTCTGAACCTCACCAGAATGCTGTGAAAAATTATTCATGGTCTAAACCATGTTGCTAAGAAAAATTTATGTGGCTACACATGTCACTAAAAATCATTTATGTGACAACCCAAGTATACACATAGCATTCTCCCAGACAGCACTTCTCCAGATATTTTCACCAGTGTGGTTGAAGATTATGATCCCTCCTATGGGAATTTCAGTACTTCAGCATTGCGGTGGACCACATACTGCAGTTTCTGGTAAAATCTTTGGCAATGTAGCTTTCTGCATGCATTCAACATAAAAGGCATCACATGCCCCTCTTTCCTTTCTCATTTTAGGATTCTGGTGCCAAAATTTTGCAATTTTCTGATTTTTTTTTAATTAAAAAGATTTATAGGGAAAACAACGGTGAAAAAAAAAAAGCCTAGAATTGTGCGTCTTGTCTTGTATTGAAGAAGAATGTAAAACAATAGGTGGTGGTGGATGCATCGTTGAAATAAATTTAAAGATATGCAAACAAACATTCCTCTCCTAACTCACCAACAAGTTTGCAAATGCTCTTCAAAGTTGCCAATGGGTTCATGACTTAACCACATCTGTGGTAAGAATGTAAATTCCATATATTTTATGGCTCTTGTTAAAGATGGAATTAAACACAGGAATTTTAATTTAATAACTTATAATATTTAAACACAAAAACTTATTTCTATGTTTCCCTTAATGGGAGAGCAAACATAAATATTGTTGCAAAATTTAGTTTAAAATATTAATGGTAAATTTAAAATACATTTAAAATGCAATTTGTCACAGTTCTAGATCCCCATCTTTAGAAAAAAAAAAAAAAGGTAATGAAGTAGAAATAGATAATGGAAATGACACTGTGTATTTTAAAATATAAATGAAAATTTGGGATAATCCAAGCAATGTTTATGTGTGTAAAAAGTATATTCCTTACTACCTTATGCATACTAAAGGTACCTGATAGATTTAACTGATAACAGTTACTTTTAAAAGAAGAATAATATTAAGAGCGATTCAAAGGTTGTATTTAATTTAAGGGACAGTAGGCAATGTAGGCATATATATTTTGCTGTAAATTGACTGGCAAATGTTATTCAGTAAAGGAAAAGATCCCACATGTGCTTTCTCTATACCACTACTTTAATCTAGTCCATCATTAACAATATTTTTCCTGGGATTCCATCTCAGGGTAAAATTGTAAGCTTTGTAATCTTGTTCTTAAAAATGTAGTTGTATCACGATAAAACATTAATAAACTATGTTAAATATTGTTTTTCCAACATTCCATTAGCAAAATAGAATAAGGATATAACCCTCTCAAGCAAATAACCCATTTTCCTTCCTTTGTAATGATCCGGTATTTCTCAAGTGTGTATTGCATAAAGTAAAAATATATATTAACATATGAATTAATTCAGTTGTACATAAAATCACCTCTGACTTCTTAACTGATTTTTTTAAAGGATTAAAACATAACCGATGCACGCCATAAAAGGATTTTTATTACATGGGCTCGAGAAGCTTTACCACGTGACAAAACAAATGACGCCGAAAGCTCTATGTTACGTTTGTATTCTTCTAACCAATAGCAGCGAAGCAGCTATCACAGTAGGAGGTACAACGAGTACGTTTTAGGAACATGCGACAGGGAAGAGCATCCGCCCCCCGAACAAGGAAGCTCTGGGGAGAGAAAGTTGTTTAACAACTTTGGAAACGAGCACTCGTGGCTCATAATAATCAGGTAGAGCGGTAAAAGGTACTTTCCACTTCATGCCTTTAAATGTAGAAGGCTGTACTTCATGAACATGATGTAAGTGTTATTTACATTCCTATAAATGTATTTCATTATCTATCAACAGCAATTCTGCAGTATTTTTTAAAGTCCTCCTAGTGTGTTAGTTAGCATTTATCTTCGTATATTCATCTGTAACAAAATGTAAGTTAAATATTCATTTATCAGGACGCTTTGATGGTATAACCGTATGTATTCTACCCATTTTGTAACGTTATTTTGATAGTTACTGTCTGCTGTTTTCATCACTAACAAGGCCGGGAGAGCTGTTTCCGTTATACGAAACGTAATTATATTATAAAATTATAACTAGGGCAGCCAAGAAGATCGATCGCAGGACCAGCGATTATTTTGAAAATCTTGCAGGTTATTTTTAACATTTTGTAATTACCAAATTTTCTGGCAATTTTTAAATATTTCCGATGATTTTTTTGTTAATTCAATATTACATTATTTTTACATTGAATAAATTTCCATGCTATTTTCCGTAGCAATTTTCTCAAAACTATACTGCTTATCCTTTCATAGAGACGACATTAGAATTCTAAACTACTTTAAGTTTTGCTAACTTCTGGTTCGGAAAAAAAAAAAAAAAAAGTCCCTTTTATAAGTTACATAAAATCGTCCTCCGTTATGTGGTCTAGGTTTAGGTTTATTTCTATAACCAACGTAGATGAAAACTAAGAGAGGCAATGCCTTCTTGGAAGACCTTTTTAAGATAAACTGGCTCATACTGACGTTATACATAAGCAAAGCCAACAAAATTCTTATGCATTCGGCTAGCTTGCGAGATTTGAACTCAGATCGAACTATCAGTATTTAGTGTTCAACAAACTGGTGGGACTCAGTTTCCCGTTCCTTCCTTTCAACCATTAACAGTGGCGACGCTAAAGACTTTTTTTTTCTCCCGGCGTGCAGCTCAATTTAAAAAATCCACTTGCGTACGTACGAAAACGCCGTCCAGTTAAATAGCAATTTTAACCTAAAATAGCAGTGTTGAATATGCTTGCATTATTTGATTGATTCGTAAATGCAGTTATCAATAAAAAAATATGTAACTTAATAGACTGTTTTTTCGAGCTTCCAGTTAACGAACTATACTGTCATTCCCAATATTTAACTGCTTTTTCATTTACATTCTTATTTACGAACATTTATTGCTGCCCCAACGACTTCGTAAAAACGTACAATGTCGGTACAATGTTTATTTAGCTACTTGACAGTTATTGTTACTATACATATCTTGTAGATGTGTACAGTAATATGTATTGTTACTGTAGATGTCATGTCTTTCCGATGAAATTTTGATATTTTCAGAAAAATTAATGTTTTCCGGACTATTAAAAATTCCAAAATATTAAAAATTCCTCCAAAATATTAAAAACGCCTCAACTGCGAAATTTTTCACAAAGACGTTAGAAAATCTCAAACCGCGGTACTGTTATAAATTTTCAGTACTTAATCCTACGAGTGCTCGCTAATTTTATTCCTCCTTCCCTTGATAAATACTAATTATAGCAGTATAGTTCTTTCACAAACTTGCGTGATTTAAAAATAGCATGAGCAAATTTAACATTATTATGCTTCTAACAGTCGTATAGACTCACAAGCAGTCCAGCGTTAAAACCGCCGGAACACTGGTAATTCGACTCAAACGTTGACAAACGCACCACTGTATAAGAGCTTTTAGTAGTGTTTTCTGTATGTATCGTAAATACGATAGTTTCCCTGTGGAAGATTTTGAAGGAGGCGTTCTTTCCCTTAGGTAGGTAGCTCTTTCATGTTTTGCCGTAATTAAAATAACCTTTTTCAATCCGGCTAACGATATAATTGTAAAAGTCGTTTCTAAAGTTGTTCTATTATTTGCTTCTTCTTGACACCCCAATGAGAAAGTGGATATTGGTAAGTTTGAATCCATTTCAGATCTCCTCGAACAAAAGGGCTGATTAGACGTTTTCGTACTTCATACCCATGCGCAAAGTTAGTTTCGTAGAACATACTCATGTTCATACCCAGTTCGTAGTTCGTACCCATGTGCAATATGAATATAAACCGCTTTTCTTTCTTAGGTTCATCATGAAAGCATCTCTTCCTTAGGAGACTGCTTTCACGTATTTTGTCTTAAACAAAATCAACTAATTAGTATGTATACTTCTGTTCCATGGATCCTTCAGTTTGCCAGTGTAATAATTACAAGTCTGATTGTAATTATTTCTTTTGTAGCACAAAACGTCTGGTGACGATGCGATCATAAATGTAAATTATTTTTTTCTTTCTGCTACCATTTCAATTTTTTAAACTGTTTTGTATCTTTCATGCAATTAACCACTGTGCTTTTGTTTTATTATTATTAGCAGTAGGAGCCCAAAAGGGCAATTTACTCAGAAGGGCTATTGATTTCATTTTGGCATTTTGCTTTGGTTCACTATAAAAGTCCGAATCACTTTTCAAATTGTTGCTACCAAATATTAGAGCCCTGCATTATAAAGAAATTAAATAATGAGGAATCTGCGTGAATGTACGCACATTCTTGCATTGTGAAAAAACAACGGAACCTAGGGACATCAAATTTTGAAAAAGTAATCCTCCACTCTAATATGGGCATCTAGAAACCCAAATTTTGGAATTTGTTTTATTACCTATTTCATCTTTTGTAAAACTTTCACGAATTTTCCATTAACAAAGTCCACGATTTCAAAGCAATCCATTAACATTAGCATCGCGTGCATCTTCCCCCCCCCAGCACGGACATTTTATGCGCAAGTTTTTTTTTTTTTTTTTTTTTTGTATTGCTGTTGAATTGAGTTTTATGGTTTAAATGTGAAGAATGTGATATTTAATTAATGAAGGTAACACACAAAACATTATTATTATTGCATATGATTTGTGCAGAATTCAGCATGAGATGGATTTTAAATGTTGTTATTTATTTTACGTTGCATTATTAAACACCATTGTTGCTGCTTTCAGAGCGCAACTATATTAAGTTGTGAATTGCCCTTTTTTACCCCCTTTGTACTTATATATTGTTACCTTATTTTCTTCCTTCACGTTTGTACGGGGTTCGTAGATTTGGAGTGAATAACGACGGCACTTGATGAAGTATCGAAACACTGATTAATATCGGCTATCTTATTTAGCCGATATTAATCAGGACAGCTCCAAAGTCAATTTTTACATTCGTCGAAGATCTACTATAAACACGTTAGAACAATCAGCGACACAGCCATCAGGCTATTGCGGTGAAGACAGCTTCACGGCAAAGCACTAGAGTATAGCTCCCGACTCTCCTCGGTCGTTCTCGGAACTCTACGTACTCTCGAGACTTTCCAAGCTACAACTCACTCGCGGTGCTCTCGACGATCCAGCTTCAGTCGCTCCCGGATTTCTAGAAGGTCATCATGATTTACATTTCACCTCTCTTTTCTCTGCTTAGGATATTTTTCTATGGTGAATCACACTTACATATCCATTCAGTATTCAATGGCATTTCATGTTACAGAGTTATATTTTCATTCCTTTCTTTCGGAAAATTACTAATATTTTTCAAGATTAACATTATTGGAATTATTAAAGATATAAATTTATTATCAACATATAAAACGAACATAATACTTAAATTTAAAAATATTTGAACGGTGCTGCCATCTCGTAGCTCAATTCCTACATGCGCGGTGGGACGTATTTGGTCCCACCTTTTAATTTGAACCATTCTTAATTAGATATATAATTCAACAAATAATTAATTTTTTTTAAAGGAAACTTTCACATAAAAATATTCATTCTAACACCAAAAGTTGTTGTTCAGAAAATTTAAATTGCATTAGAAATAAATAAAAAGAACTGCTTCAAAATTAGACCTGTGAAGAATTTTTATTTTACATTATTTCCGTGAATGACTACTAATGTTGCCATCTGTTATACATATATAGAACTAAAAGGCGTAATTGTTTGTATTTTAAATGGAATTTTGCAGCTTTCATCTGGGAGATAAAAACTGATATAAAAGGTGGGATGCCGCCCGTGAAATGGTTATTGTATGCATGTGTGCGAGTGTGTATGTATGTGTGTACGTATGGGGGAGTATACACACATACATTTTCGACAGCTAATGTGCAAACCCGAAACTCCGACTTTATGCACCTCATTAGGTACGCCTCTTTTAAACTATTGCAGTTGACTTATTTTGAGATATATAATACTAAGTTTAGAAATGTTGTCGCACCTTTATAAGGAAAACCAAAAACTATAGGAGACAACTTGGAATTCAAAAAATTTTGAAATAACATCCACTTTTTAAATATTACAGTAATTGAGCAGGATCTTGTTTTTGTCAGGTCCACCAGCGGCCGAGCGGTAAAGTCGCTGAACACTGGTAGTTCGGTCCAAAGTTCGAATCCCGCGAACGGGGCTGGCTGCATGGGTGTTTTCGTGGTTTTCCCCATGTGTAACGTGTATATGAGCCAGTTTCCCTTAGAAAGTCCTCCACGAAGGCATCCCTCCCCTTAGGCAGATAGCCCTAGTGTGCTTAGCCGTAATTAAAATACACCACACCACTTGTTTTTGTCATCAAGTCCTTACAAGACATTGGAATTACCACGCCTCCATCTTAAACAGACTTCGTTCATTAAGCATAATTATAGGTAATGGGTTGTTGACATGTGGCAGTTTAAATGAAGCACATTTATTTATTTATAATATGAGTATTGAGTCGAGAACTATCCTAATATTTATTTAAAATATTCATTCTGTTTAAAGAAGTTTTTCATTGCTTGCGTTTACGGCAAGTATGACTAGCTGAGGGACTTGAGTGATCATGTTGCAAAGTGATCAAGAGGTGTGTGAATTAGGTGTAGGACATAATTCATTCCTTAAAATATCAATCCAAAATAGGACAGTTACAATCATGGTTCCCCGGGATTCGAGCCCGGGCGATCGCTGCGATTGTCGTGGTCAGTAACCACTATACCGTCTAGTCGGCTCCTCCTACTTTATACTCCATATTACTCACATATTAT